GACAATTCGACCCGGGTCAACTTACAGGTCCTGCGTGAAAATCATTTGATGGTGTGTTACCGTACTTTCTTTTAGTATCAGCGAGGCCCTCTGCTCAGAAGAGAAGTCAGAGGCCAGGTGGCAACAGGAAGTTCCAGTTCTTTGTGTATTCACCAGACGGTGACAGGGAGTGCGAAGCGTTGAAGGTATGTTGCACGCTGTACCATTTCCCTAGAAAGGAGTCAAAGTTAAAGAAGGATCTTTATTGGGCTGTAACGTTCGTCAAACAAAGATAAGTCCCCAAGCAGGAAGCGAACGCCAGACCTTCGCTTTTCGCGGTCCGAAGCTTTAACGCTACAAAAATCTTAGGCTCTTTTTCTAATTGTTAAATAGAGGTATGATTGCAGTTTTGGAAGGTTTAATGTGGCTTTCTTAAAACAGTTTTTGTAGGGTTTAGCCAAAGCACAGATCAAACCTTGGAAACCTCAGTACTTTGCATGGCGCTGTTGTTCATTTGTTTATTACAGTGATGCACATTTGCTCAATTGTTTAAGTGTGGTGATACTGTGTGTTTATTTTTGTTCAAGAACTATATGCTGAAAGCAGGTGGAACACTAGTAGATGTCAGGAACTCCAGTTATTTGAAGGAAAATACACGAGAGCTGAAAGTGTTCATCAGAAGAAAGCACTTGACATCTGTACACCGGTAAATAAAAGAAGTTGAGATTGGTATGGCTTTGTATGCCTAGTTTACTTTTTTTGTTCTGGTTTTTGGAGGCGCGGTGGCCCTCTCCAAGCTGGAGGGTTTAACTCACTTAGCCTGAATGCTGGCAGAGACGCTTCTTCCCTTTAGGGAAGAAGTACTTCTTGTTTGGCTTGGCCAGAATTTTGATTGTGCTTATTTTAGGCTGATGCGGAGTTGCCCGAGTGAATGTCTTTAAGTGACTGGTGGTTAATGATCTTTGTTATCATCCCCTTCATATATTCTGCACCCACTTAAAAATTGCCCTTCTTTCCCTGAGATTTTTTTAAACATTTTTGTCTCCAGGTTGGCCAACTTGTATCAGCTAAAGATGTCACCATTTGTCAAGTTTTCTCTGTTTAACACTTTAACAGGTATGCTAAACATTCAAAATAGTAAGTCCGAATTGGTCCTCACTGTTACACTGCAGATAACTTCACTGCAAAAAAAGTCTCAAAAATTTCGTTGCTTTGTTTAGTTGAATTGATGTCGTCTTTGTTCATAGACGTGACTGAGGGAAGCCGTTTTTTCGAGAACATCTTTGTGTCAGGTGGTGCCTTGCTAGCCGATGACAACTTTCTGAAGACAATTGAACTTGGTGAGTTCATGGACAGACTTCATGTGCATTTGCATATGCACTCAGGGTAAAAACTTTCGTATTCTTTTGTCTCGTAATCGCTGGGTTTGGCCAACTGTCCCGGTAGCTGGCTGGGATGACTGCTTTGTGTTTGAGAAGGATTTTTGAGTCTACAGTTCCCATAGCAACGTAGGCTCCTTGTTGTGATTGGCTCAGTGTCTCTCTCTTCAAATGGGTTGCTGGCTTTTTCGTGGGAAACTTTGACACAAGTGGAGAGAGGGAAGAAGGCGGGTGGGTGAGTTGTTAGTTTTGAGTTGTGATCAGCTGGTATCTGTTCCACATGGGAAAGAAGAAATTATCCCCAGTCCCGGTTCCCATCCAGACATTCTCTAGGCGTGGGAGGAGAGGAAGGGGGAAGGAATGAGAGGGCGGAAGGGGAAGGTAGTGGCTGTAGATAGATGTGGCAACTTCTAGAAACAGTTACCACTTACGTCCCCTGGCCCCGGCCTTAATGTTGACTTCTGTCACTAACGTTAAGTGTTCCTGGTGAGGTGCTATTGGTTTGCATTTATTCAGCCATGGATTTATCGTACTTTACTTTGCTTTCCTCTCATAGATCACCTTAATGCTCTGTTACGCTACCTTAAAGAACAAAGCCTGGTTCATCAGAAGTTCGTTTGGGTCCTGAACATCAGCCGAAATGGCTACAAGAAACTTTCGTTGAACAGGTGAGCGAGTTTGGCTTCGAAAAATTCTTTATCAGTCCCTATTCAGAAATCCTTTCCTTGCGTTGGTTCTGCTCAATCGCTGTTTTCTATTTTTTTTGTGTGTGTGTGTAATTTGATACAGACCACTGACAAGAAGAGACTGGGAGGTTTTGGTAAGTTCACTCTTGGTTTACTTTAGTTCGCGTCTCGCGTAGTCGGCGCTTTTGTTTGCGCTTTGAAGCGTTCTACTCCGCTTATCCTTGTCGCGGCTCCATCTCCGGTTTTTGCTCATGGAGCGCCATAAAGCTCTCGCCGCACGCTTAGTTAACCTCAGTTCTGGTTTTGTTTTTGGTTAATTTTTTTTAATCTGTTACTAAGCGTGCATCTTTATTAACAAAATAGAAAAAGTTAGTAATTAGTTCCTCGGTAACGCTCATCGTAGCTCGCCTAAACTTTACGTTTTCAATTTTGTAATGACAAGTACTAGAGGGAATGAGGCGGGCGAGAAGTAATTTGTCGCGCAATCTTACAGTGCGCGGGATTTATCTTATTGCGCGCATTTAAATACGGGTGAATTTTAGCCCCCGAATTTATTTGGAAGAGTTACATGACTGGAGAAGATAAATGTATTGTTCGAAGATTCCATATCTCGTCCAACACCCTTGAAATAATGATAAACTGTTTCGTGTCATCTCTTCAATTGTTAGTCTAATTAAATGTTTCTTTTTTTTTTTCCCAGAATCTTCTACGCGATTACAAGAAAGAAGGTTTTGTAACAGTTCTTCAAAAGGTCAGAGGACTTGCGGTTATTGCCGAGAGCTGAATATTCATTGCAAATTTTCCTAGGAATTGTTTATGGAAAAAATGACTGGTTTTCCCTTGAAATGCCCAAAACCTGAGTTGTTAGTGTTCGAAGAAGGATACCAGTTAATGGAAAAATTCTGTGAAAGGCGACTTTGGCAAGGTCACTTGGAGAATTGTCGTTAAGAAATTTTGTTCTTTTTTTGTTTTTCAAAGCCGTAAATGGCGTACGCAGTTTTTCTTTCTTTTTTTTTTTTTTTGAGGTTACGATTCACCAAATCAAGCTCGCTTTCGTTCTCAACTACTACAGTGGGTATTCTGTGAAATTTGTGTGCTGAACAAAATAGATTTTCCTAGCCAGTTAAAGAAAAAGGTTTTTGTTTGGTTCTTCTTGATCAGGGTTATGTCACCGAAGGCATTCCGTCTTCTCAGCGGTATCTACAGACCTCGCTCAAGCTACAGATTGAACTTGTGTCTGTCTACAGACACGTTATTCTATTGTCAGGTGCGTCAGCGGAAATCTTTTTCCTTGTATATTTTAAAGACGAGCGTTATTCGCTTTTTACCAGCGGGGTACAAAGAAAAAGCCAGTGTTCCCCTTGCGGAATCGAACTACATCTCTTCTAGACTTCGCAATCATGTGTTTTACCATTGAGCTACAGCCATGTTGTTTGAGGCCAGTAGTAAGTTTATGGGACAAGTGTTCTGCGCTCAGTATGTTTGTTTTCTCCTGTTTTTACCTCTATCGCGAATGTGAATTTTTTCGAACCACCTGCGTCTAAGTCGAACTGCAAAACTGAACAGTAAGAAGTGATCTTTATTTCTGTTGGATTTAAAGTTTGTGTTTTTTTCCCCTCTAGTGCGCTTCAATGTTACGAATACAAAAGAAGGAATGCCCCTCCCTCCCTCAGCATTCAAAATAATGACTTTATTGTTGCATGTTGCGTTAAAAACAGTATCGTCCTCGTTCACAGATATGGACAAGAACAGAATAGAAGTACCGTGGTTTTATGAGCGAGGGGTAAGCTTATCAGCCAGTGCAGATTGACTTTACTATTCTTGGGTGCCATTAGAATCTATTTTAAGCTGTTTTAATGCTACGACGTAATAACTCACATTGGAAATAAATGTTTTGGTTTTCTTTCTATTTCAGATTGGGGTTATGAATGTTAAAGAGTTCTTGACATCATTTGCGGGGTGAGGAGTTTTAGCAGACGCATATCTACGTTCGCACTTACGCGCGTATGCACACTCACGCGTGCGCACGCAAATACATGCACGTGCGCGTGCGCGGATACATTTATATATCCGCTCGTATGCACATACGCTCATACGTTCATACATATAAGAGTAAATCATCTCGAAATACGACTGTTTTCCACCCTACTGGTATCTGGATTGCTCGTTGCTTACGTTCACACCTTTTTAAAGCCGACATTACATATCTACGCACAAACATACGTGAGTTTAAGAGTGTGAGACCTGTAGGTTTTGGAAAGGATGTCACGTAGAAGTTGAAGGAGCTACTCTAAATACATCAGTCTTTTCTTCTTTTTCTGTTTCTTTTGTGGTTTTACTACTTTGATGAACTGCTCTCTTTCTGTTGTAGGTTTCAATATGTAGGCAGCTTTGCATGAAAAATAATAAAAAGAAAGAAAATTAATCGAAATATTGGAAGTCCTTTTATAATACCTACCTTTTATTTTCTTGAATGCAGGGAAAGGCAGACTACGAACGTGATCTCAAAGCAGCCGAATCCTGAAAGTATTTGCAAGGAAAATATGGCAGTTGTTTATTGTTCTACTCCCGAAGGTACGTTATGTTGTTGCAAGGCGTGCTTGTCAAATGTTCATCTCATTCTTTGTTTGTTGCAGTCACAACTACGATTTAGTTATTATCGAATGGGAATTTCACATGCGTATTCTGTTTAATTTTCTCTTTGCAGATGAAACATCTCTCCAAACACCGCTGGGAACTCCGATGTCAGACTGCTCAGTTGAAATCCCATATATGGAGATACAGGCTCGTGAACCACCGCACTCAACTGGCACCCCTCGAAAGCGAGCCGGACGCTCGCAGAGCTGGGATGCGGGTTCCATGACCCACACTCGGCTCCAGATCCTCTCGTGCGTACGAACTGTGCGCGACAGTATTCGTAGTCAGATTAGCAGTAGTACTCCTTCAAGTCCCGTAGGCCGGTCCATGTGACTAGACGTGTAGACCTTGTTTAAGAGGTGGGAGGGGAGGATGCATTCCGATTTACCTCTCTGTTGTCCTTCTCTTCGGAAGTTGTCCTTTTCGTTTTTCGTTCTAAATTTCGTTTAGATTTTTGCGTTCTACAGCGTTATTCAAGCACTATATTAGATGTAGAAATGAATGTGTTACCATTTGTCGTTTTGGAGTTTCTAAACCTTGGTTCCGCAGTGAACCCTTTGACTCCCATGAGTGACGAAGACAGAATTTCTCCTTACAATATCAATACAATATCAAGCAGACGAGTGATGAGAATAAAGAAAATCATCAATTAGGGAAGTTTTAGTTGTTCCAGGACCAAATTCTCCAAACCCACATTGTAAAATTCTATGTTGAACAGTAATGAGAATTTCTATTCAGATCTTGGGAGTGGAAGGGTTAATGCGAGAACTGTGATGCCCTCACTTTAAAAATCAATCTTGATAAGGCATTCATGTGGCCCTTTTTTTTCTAAAGGGGTGGGCCTTTTTTTAAAGGGGGAGTTTGAAAGACGTTTTGTTATTTCTCTAAACACTTCTTTGTACAGATTTTTCTACTTTGTTTTTCAATGAAATCTGGAAATGTTTGTTAACCGGGTGATGTACGGTTAACTATGGTGATGTACGGATTTTCGGGTCGTTAACCCCAAATTGATTTGGACACGGGTGAAACAAAATTGAAAGTCCCATTCACAACCATTTTAACTTGATTACTTTGCCGTGAGATCTTCATTTTAAGCTAACTTTCGCTTGTTTCAAAGTGCTTATAAAAAATTTTTAGGGAATTTTACATCTTTGCTTTCTTGGCCGAAGTTAGGTTGGGTTGGAATAGTTCACACTCGTCAGCTTGAATTGAAATTTGTAAATAGAATTACCCATTGTAGGAATGATTTTTTTTCATATGAATCAGAGATTTATTTAAGTTTAATTTTCAGAGATCGAGTCATAAGTGCGAATCTAAGCTGTTTACTCAAGTGGTTCGCAGGTCACGCAAGTGTAGTAACAGTCGCGCCACACTTCAAGTTTGACAGAATGACCTGAGAATGATTTGAAGAGAGGGCCCAGACTCGGGCCATGTAAAATTTATTTGAAATAAAGAGGCGTTTAACACATGTCCTTCATTATTAGTGAATAAAGGCTGATAGTTTCTAAAGAAACTGTTTGGGGCTGCGTTGGTGGGGGGTAATGAAATAATTTCAATATATCAACAAAGTTGAAATGGTAAATTGGCCACCGTTACGATTGTAAAAGCTGACGTTTCGAGCGAAGGGCTAACGCTCGAAACGTCTGCCTTCATTGTTAGTGTTTCGTTTCTAAAGATTTGTACAGGTGGGAGAACAATAGGACACGTAGTCCCCCACTAGGTTCATCCACCTAAACCCAACCCACCCCAGGGAAGGACATCCATCAAAGTAATCTCGTGTGTGGGAAATTAACGTCTCCTTCCCCTCCTGCATGAGACGGGACCTCCATTTATTCTTCCCTATCCGAGAAGACAAGAACATCAACTATTTCTTGATGTTATAGATAGGTAGCATATTCTTCTCAATTATTTTAAGACCTTGAGTGTTAGTCCAGCCCGGGACTCTATCCCTCAACCTCCCGCATAGCAGTCCAGCGCTCTATCCATTGAGATAACTGGGAGGCGGTTTCTTTAAACAACAGGACAGTATTCATTCTGTCTGTCGAACCATTCACTCGGTTGTCTTGGACTCGCACCCAAACATTAAACGTGCGCTGATAAACTGGACACTGTAAATGGTTTCACTAATTTATATTTTTCAAGTCCTGGCTACCTTGCTTCTGTATGAGCCAAGAAAAAAACTTTGTACAATTTGACCTATAATGTATTTTAATCAATCTCAAAGTTCTATAGATTTTCGGCGCTGTTATGTACAGAATGAAATTATCAATCTTGCTTACAGTTCTTTCAGAAACGTCCTTGTTGAAATGTTCAAATATCAAAATAATATATTTACTACCAATGGTTGACCTACACCCCATGTGCATTTTCATTTCATTTTCATTCTCAGTTAGAGAAGTAACTTAAAGCATTTTTTCATTTAAGCAACCGCTTGAATACCGATAATTGTCAGTATTCTGGTCGTGAACTAAAAATTTCTAAAACAAATAGATTTTGGATCGACGATAAATGTACAAGTATCTAAAAGAATGTGAAACAATTCTCTTACAACCAAAAGTAATGATGATTTATTAAACTAAAAAGTAGTTATCCTAATTAAAAGACAACTGATAAACATTAAGAGATATCGTTATGTCAACGTTAAACGCAGCTTTAACTCAGCAGACGTTCAAGATTCGACCCGTGAACTTCTTTAACTCGAAGAAGATTAAAACAGGCAGGCCAAGCAACAAGAGCACGGAAGCTGCAAAAGTTTGAGGCCAAGATTTAAACGTCTGTTAAAAAAAAAAAAAAAAAAAAAAAAAAAAAAAAACAACGCCTACTTTCTCGTGTCATTACGCAACTAAAAAACTTCAAAACATAGGCGGTAGCTGGTAAACCGGCGGAGGACTGTTCCGCGGATCTTCGTCGTCGAGGACTCCATAAAAAGGCGGGGGAGGCTCGTACCTAACACCAGGGCTATCTTTCCCATAATCTTCTTCGTCATCTTCATCGGAAGAAACAGGTTTATCAAGCGAGGTTTCTGAAATATAGGAGGGCGGGAAACTCGGGGAATCGTCCGGTAGAACAAGTGGTTTCCCAGGGATTGGTTTTAACTCAATTTCCGGTTCCAGTATTATGGGTTTACGCTTCTTAAAGGTACGCTTCTCGTTAGAAGGTTTTGGTCTCCGTCTCCTACAATACCAGATCAGTACCACGGCCAACACAATTAAAATAAGAACAATGAATACACCTACAAGTACGTGCTTGTACCACAAGTCGCCCTCTTCCACAGACGTTAGTGCGCCTGCGTCGATTGGTGTAGCAGTTGTGACGGGGTGAGATCCGTTACATACACCCATTCGCTCCTCGCTCGCACTCACCACTGGAAAGCCTTGTAAAGCCTCTCGAAATTCCGTTCTTACTTCTCCACTGGAAAGTAGAATCTTATTTGCAACGTACTGTAGTTTTTCCTCGTCGCACCTCTCTGTTGGTAACGAATCATTCGTCCACGTCATGATCACTGACCCAGCTTCGAAACTCGACACTCTTATGTTTGATTCACCCTCGTCACCATAATAGGCTGCGATCTTCTTCAACAGTAAGAGCCTCTGGGCTACGTCGCGGCTAAACTCGACAAAATCGTTCGTAATTCTAATTTTTAATTCTTGCACAACTGGATTTTCCGATGGAACAACCAGAACCTCAAAAGCGTCCAAGGCTTCGGCACCGCGGCTGTCTTGAGCATACACAACTAACACCTGACCCATAATCCCATCAGGCACATGCGTGTCCAGCGGTAATCCGTCGATAGTCTGGCTGTTACTGTCAAACTGCAACCAAAAGTCCTCCGGGATTAATGAACCGTTTGCAAATTTAATCGAAAGCGACAGGTTGCGCGTGTTGACGCCGTCCTCCCGATCATAAAAAGTATCTTCGGGTATAGTGTAGTGCAGTGCTACTCCTGCTGGAGCTATCACTCGACCCAGGTTGTTGATAACCTCAGGGGGTGAATTGGGCGGAGCCGTGGCTGGTATGACAACGACACTTGACGTTGGTGACACGCTGATCGCCCGCGTTGTGCCTGTCACTGTTGCAGTCTGGATCGAGTTGGACGAGGACAAAGATGAGGTACTTGGAAGCGGACCTAAAATGGATGAAAAATGAAAAGGAAAGCTAGAATGGTTAGAACAACGAGGGGAAATTATGGTATTACTAGGAACTAGGTTTGAGGACAAGGGGGTTGTAGCTAAAACCACAGTTTGGGAGATGCTAGTTTGAAAACTTCTAGAACTTTGTTTTGAGGTGTCGAGTATGTTGTTAGTACTAGTGGAGGCGGAAAGATGTTGTGTGGCTGGAGAATCTGAGCGGAAGTTTTGTGACTTACTAACCATGGAGGAAATTACGCGAAATGAGGCAGGCGGGCGCCATAATGAAAACGAGGCAGTACTGACTAAAGTCCCGTATAAGCTTAGAAATTTCAGAGACAAAAGTAGAAAAGCTCTTGGAAGAGTTGTTTGCATCAGACTTACGTAAAGAGAAAGCAACAGCAGTAGGAGAGAGCGTCGGAATACGGCTTACAGCAGAAGATTCATCTAATAAAGTAGATGACCAGGAAGCTGTTCTGAAAGTCGTAAGAATTCCTTTACTTGTCGAGAGATTTGGAGTAAACGATCTATGCGTAATGCTTGTCTCTGTGACTACGTTGGGTATTAAGGTGTAAGTTTCTTTCTCTGTTGGGGTTATGGTTGACGTTGATGATGATGTTGATGATGACGTAGTTGCAATTTTGGTTGATTTGACTGACACTGTTGAGAATCTCGCGCTTGATGCTAAAATACCCGCAGATATAGAGGTTGTTAGACCCCTTAGTTTCGACGACCGTAAGCTAGATGACGTCATACTTCGTGATGATAACACAAGGCTCTGATCCAAGGACTTCGTCGCGCTGACTATTGACCCTACCAACGATGTTTTCTGCGTCTCTGACGGTGGCGCCGATTCGAGCCTTGATGACGAAAATGTAGGAACTTCTGAAGATGTTAATCTTTCAAGGGTCGCTTGCGTGATCCTCATCCCTGAACCAGTGATGACAGGCGTCCGAGTGATAGTTTTACGGCTGTGAATCAACTTTAAAGTGGTTGTTTGGGTGACAGATAAAGTTTTGAGTTTGTCCGAGAAAGTAACTCTAAACTTCATCGACGATCCAACAAACATGGAAGGTCTAACTAAAAACGTGCTTCTCTTCAAAGTGCTGAGTCGGGTGGCAGATGTAGCATTACTCTGCGTGACGCGCGTCACAGTTGTCGACTTAACTTGCGTGACAGTATTGCTGTTAATTTGTGCTGATGAAAACGTAGCAATGGTCAATCGAGATCCAACCTTATTATGACTGAGTGCAGTAGACGAGATCACTATCACTTGGGTACTTCGCAGAGTCTTTTCTGTTGTATTGTGTGACGCGACAGAGGATGAACCTTATAGAGGAGATAAGGAGGTAACATTACAAAGTGTCACGCCATAACCATTTAGTGACTTGAACTGAATTGCTCTGGCGGGTAAGCGCCTTGAGAACTCATCACAGCCATCTTAACTTCAATTGGCAAGTAATACAGTGGCGTTTAATGCGGTTAGTGAATAAGAACAGTTCAATGAAACTCAATGAAACAACAACACGTAAGAGAAACGAAGCACAAAGAGAATGACGCCAGGAAAATAAAGGCAAAAGAGAGAACCTGGTGACATTGAAGGGTGAATGTAGGTTTGTGTTCAAATGTACATCTCATGGAAGAGGTAGGTATACAGCAAACCGACACGAAAACGAAATTCAAGCAGCAAGGAGTGAAAAGAAGGTTTAGTGATTTGAAAGGAAAGGTCAAGGCTCACTGGACTCGAACGGAGAGACAAAGAATGTGATTCAGCGGAAGAAAGAATCTTAACTCGTGACTGGGTGCAATGTTCGATAAATCTAACGTGGTGCGTGCGTGCAATTCGTTACTCATTGCTGTCTTACCGCTGGTCTCCAAGATGCTAGTCGTCCTGTTCACCGGCGTTCTAGATGTGGGTAAGACTGCGCCACTCGTCTGGACAGAGCTGAGTATCGTGCTAAAAACACTTTCAAGTCTGCTACTGGAGGTCAGCACGCGCGTGCTGCGAGTAACGTGCGTGGAAAGAACCAAAGTATCCGTGACAGATGTTGGTGGGACTGTGACAGAAGTTGGAATGACCGTGATAGAGGGTACTGACATCACAGTAGAGGTTACCACACCTGTGGCAGCGGACATTCGTGTGCTGTCAATTCCAGTCGTTGACTTTTTCGATGAAGTGGTCGACGAAAGAGAACTGAACTTCATCGAAACAGTTCTACTAGCGTCGAACAACGTCGTCGAATTTTGCACGATTCTGCTGGACTCGGTAACATCACTCTTGCTGAGCAAAGTTGTCAGGTCTTGTGACTTCAAAGGTGAGGATGCTGAACTTGAAGTGAGTGTGGACGACAATATTGTGCGGCTGATTTGTACAGTTGACATCCCTGTTGTGGTTGAGTTCAACACAGAGGTTTCTGTCGTAAGAACACCAGAAAATGCGGCGCTTGATCTTGACACAGCAACTGAACTGCTTACATTTGCCATCAACATGGAAGACGATCCAAGAATACGTTTTCCACTCAAGGAAACTGTTGACATCAACGAGGAGCTAGCGTCAAAATGTCCACTTGAACTGGTAACAAAAGAAATTGGTGATGAAGTCGTTCTTTTTGCAGAGACCGACGAGTTCATAGGCTTGGCCACAGCACTTGATACCGCTGCAGAACTTCCTTTAGTACTTGAAGCCGTCGTGGAATTCACAGGAACTTCAGGGCTTGTGGTCTGTATTACGGACATCGAGAAAAATGACGAGTGTGTAACTCTAGTCAAGTTCGGTCTCAGATCGACACTTGAAAACATGCTGGCAAACTGAGAAGTACTTAATGATGAAATTGTGCTCACAACGAACGTGGATGTTGTGATTTTTGGAGAAGATGAGATGTTAGCACTTGGTTTTTTAACTCCTTCCGAAGTAATGGTAAGGACAACACTTCGATTGGCGACGAAGGTGCCCGGAAAAGTTCGGGTTCCAATCGTCCTTGTTGACGGAAACGCCGATTTAGTCACTGCTACAAACGATGACCTATCGATTTCAAATGTTGAATTCACCAATGCAGTCCTCTTGGCTGTGGAGGTCAATTTTGAAATGGAAACATGGATTAGGAACAAAATACGACATGAAAATTCCATCTGTACTTCCATGCAGTCAAAGCTTTATTCGAGGAAGGAGCATGCAAACACTTCATGTAGTTTATCATGCAGCATACTCCGAATCTCAGCACTCTGCTGGTTGCGTTCAGCTACGAAATACATCAGCTACTTGGAAAAACTGTTAGATGAAAAATGAGTTGAGAGATGAACAGTTTTGAAGAATTTCGATCAGAGAGGAAAAGTTAATGGAACAAGGGCAATAGATAAGGGATAAGAACATTGGATAAGGGCAAATGTCAGCTGGAAAGTTGTTAGTCAGTTGTAATCAGCTGAAGTTAAGCAAGCTTGATAAAACAAAACAAAACAAAAAAAGAAGAGGAAAAAATTCTGATAAACATGACGGGTTAAATAAGAGGGTTTTGTGTTCCTGAATTTGAAACCGTGCCCTGGGCGTGTTTGTTAGAGGTTACTGTGTACGGAATACATGTTTTTGGACTGTTGGACTGGGTGGTGGCTGTTGATTTTTACGGGATTCCCTTGCCCTCTCTACAAATACATCAAACATGTACAAATCTCCAGATGAAATTCTGTACTTTCTCAACATGCATCACAAGTATTTTACTTCTTTATGTTTCTTAGAAGCTGGTGGTTAAAAATAGATTGCAATTTGTGTAATTAAAAACATTTTGCTACATAGACAGGTAAAAACGAGCGATATAATATCCCGACGTTTCGGCGACTTCGTGACGCCATTATCAAGGGTACAAATGAAAATAAAATTAACAAATGCGAGTTCAAGAGTTAGATCTAATTTACATAGGGGAGGTAGCTACACAAATACTTTAGCACGGATAGAATCCTTTAACACCGAGTTTGAACGTGCAAACGGATTCTATCCGTGCTAAAGTATTTGTGTAGCTACCTCCCCTATGTAAATTAGTTCTAACTCTTGAACTCGCATTTGTTAATTTTATTTTCATTTGTACCCTTGATAATGGCGTCATGAAGTCGCCGAAACGTCGGGATATTATATCGCTCGTTTTTACCTGTCTATGTATTACTAAATCTTTGTTAATACGAATTTTGCTACACATGGTGTCAAAATCTTTAAACTGATAAAGGAAACCTTGAAGGATCTCTTTAGCTACAAGATAGTTGGTGAAGGCATTTGAGGATTAATTAATTATTAATTAATTATTAATTAAATATTAATTAATTATTAATTAATTATTAATTAATTGACAATGAAATGTTTAGAGTACACAGGGATATATATTTTTATAGTCATCATTTGTTATATGCAACAAATTCACGGTTGACTTACTGGTAATTGCAGTCACAGATGTCACCTCACTGAAATCAAGATGAAACACAGTTAATTTGGTGACAACAAACAGGTAAACAGATAGTTATAGACAAGAACATCTGGTTTTGATGACTGTAACTATTCTCAAAAGTTAAACATGGTCTAAAGAATCACTTACCCAAGAAAAACATTGCCAGATTTTTTACTGGACAAAAATCTATTCTGTAAGCACTTAGTGTGAGCTACAGTTATGAGAGCTCACTTAGATCTCAATAGCCAATCAGAACAAATGAAATGACCCCAAGAGACCAATGAGAACGCAAAGCGGAATAAGTAATCTGCCTGAAGTGGGTGAAACATGAATGACCAAGTGGCCATTGGTATTACTTGTTAATCTGATTGGTTTAAAAAGAAGCACAAGTTTTCTGGACCAATTTCAAGTGAATATTAAGGCAAAACCAAAGCAATCCCACACTAAATTAAAAATAGCACCACCTTTCGTGACGTCTTATCAATATCTGCATGTACTTGTAAATTAACAGATCTTGTTTCTCACCTTGCACTTGTTACAATTAGTGAAGACATCAATGATGGTGGCAAAGCCGTTGTTGAGGACGCGAGATTGGGCTGTAAGGTACTACTTGAGACGATTTGGACCCCAGATGTCTGGTTGACTGTTGTAGAACTCAACAGCAACATGGAAGAACTCGACACTTGTGTCTCAGAACTGGACAGTATTACAGAAGATGTACTTGACAGTGATGGGACTAGTGAATGTGTTTTGACCGTTGATATTTCAGTGCTGTTAAATGTTGATATAACTGGGCTCGTAAACAGAGATGATGTCTGCATTAGTGAAGTTGCCTTTGATTCAGTTGAGTTTCCTGGTTGAAGGGTTGATGGTGAGATTACCATGCTGCTTGTTACAGAGGAACTTGTCTTAGCTGATGATGTTAAATTTTCTACCAAAGTTGTATTTGGAGGAAGCAAAATTAAACTTGATGAAAAGGAGGCCAAGAAAGTACTTTTTGATGTAAAGGATGAGAAACTTGGGCCCTTGATGGAACTTACTGTAGATAACCCTGTTTGATTGGCAGAAGTTATAAGTACTGATGTGTTAGCAACAGAAATAAAGCTACTTGGAACTAAGGTGATGGAGGTAGTTGCTTGAGTGATCAACGTTGATGAAGACACATTTGGAATTGAAGTATTAAACTGTGCTGTGGATGTTGTTAGCAAAGTTGACTGAAGAGTGGTAAAAGCTGATGGAACACTTGATAAAAGACTAAAAGATGTGACCAAATTAGTTCTGTTGAAAGATACAGTAAGTGAAGATGCTGTTATTGCCAAGGAAACATTGCCTTCTGACACTGAGGGAACTATAGTTGAGGACATTATAACTTGACTTGTGTTCTTTGTTATCATTGTCAACGAACTCAAAATTGATCCATTATGTGATGATGCAATACTTGATCTCTTGGGTGATGAAGTGCTCAGTGTAAAAGATGATGAAGGCACATTGGTCAGTGCTGTTCTTGTTACAAATGTTGAATTCAGTGATGGAGTACGGCTTTCATGCATACCTATTGTTCTATTGGCAGAGAAGATGGTTGTTGGACTTGGGGTCGTAGAACTGTTCATTGCTGATGTCAGCAGGGGTTTTGAAGAAGTGAAGAAACTTGTTACAGCAGCAGTTGTATTCAGAGTGCTTGAAGACTGGAATACTGTGGTATTGAGTAACTGACTCGAGTGTGGCAGGCTAACACTAAAACTTGGAGATGGGATAATAGTTCTGTTTGGCAACATACTTAAAATTGTTAAATTGATGCTCATGCTAGAAGACGGGGAAATAGTTCTGTTTGGCAACTGAATTGAAGTTGTTGCATCGACGCTAATAAGAGAAGATGTGAAAATAGTTCTATTAGGTGACTGAACTGAAATTGTTGCACTGATGCTAACACTAGAAGATGAGAAAACAGTTTTATTTGGTGGCTGACTTGATCCTGTCAAGTTGACACGGACACCAGAGGATGATGGCACAGCTGTTTTGTTTGGTAGCTGGCTTGACACTGTCAGGTTAATGCCTGTCGCAGATGACTGTATAATTGTTGATGCTGCCTGACTAAACAATGTTGAGTTGATGCTAACTGTGGTTTTGGTAATAGTTCTGTTTGGTGTAACACTTGGCAGTGACATTGTTGAATCCTGGCCTAATGCAGATGTTAAAGTAACAGTTTTTGAAACAATCACTGTAGTAGACATATTTGGTAGTTTTGAGGGTAGGGCACTAGATACAGAGGGTGTAGGAGTAATGGCTATAACCGCTTGTCTTCTAACTCTGCGCCGCATCATGTCTTTTTGAGTTCCAGACAAGACATGCCATCCCACCACAGGGACACCCATTAAAGTGCTAATTGTTCCATCTTGAGCAGCAGTTTCAAGTCTTGAAAAACCTGCATCTGTTAGCTTTAATGCACCACATGCCATGTTCCAGGTCACGAGACTCCTTCTGCCTTTGGCAAATCTGCCGTCTCCCACGCCAGCTGCTACAACAGTGGGATTATCTAGTTGTTGTGTTATTGGGTTAGAAATCTCACCCGAGAATAGGCTTAATTTGCTGAAGTCCACCCTGAGATGGTCAGCCATTTTCATCATTTGCATAATACGCTCGTGCCCATTAAGGCTTTGCATGTCCATGTTCAGGATCACTGTACCCAAGATGGCTTGTACTCCAGGAGGACATGACAAGCCAAGTGCAGGTTTGTCACCATTGCTGTTAAAACCTGTAGTGCCTAAATGAACTGATGCTGGCAGTCTTTCACTTATAGACATGACAACTATGGAAAACGATTGTGACCCACAAACATGGCCGCTCAATGAGGAGTCCTTTGTCAAAGCTACAACTAGGATGTTATAAGTTCCCTTATCTTTATCTGAGGGAACACCATAGAGTTGTTTCTTGTTGCTGTTATAGGACAGCCAGTGTGAGAGAAATCTATCCGCTGTTTCTGAAACCTGTGGAGAAAAAAGGAATTTTAGTGAAAAATTCAATTATTAAGTCCGTTGCATCCATGGGCTGACAAATTAATTTGCAGGTTGGAGAAGTTGTGGCTTTTCTTTTACCATTCTACTCTATCCAGGACCACATTCAAATTATGTTTATGTAAATGAGAGCAGCAGTACTGTTCCTTTAACATTCCCACTGCCAATGTAGACATCCAGATGAGTAATTCTGGAATTCAGTCAATCCCCATATAATATGGGGTGATGTGGAAACACTTAGGTCAATTTTACTACCCAAGGGTATAGTTTCAGCTTTGGGGTAACAAATCAATAGGAGACATGACAATAGGCCCATATGAGCTACATTCACCAACCCTGTAAAGGTGCAACTTACCACAATGCTGTCTACACTGCAAGCGAAAACATCCTCTGAAATATTATAACTAAATGCAGATCCAACATAAACTACAGCATTAGGCAACACTTTGCTTTTCACAGATGGCGTAGGTTGTACACTTTCTTGACTTGATACAACTGGTAACAACATTGTGCTAAAAAAACTGGCAGTTAGTAGTATCCACCATATTCTAAGCACTGATGTTCTCTTTGCAGACATAGTTCCACTGAAAACACAACAAAAAGTGTTTAATAGGCTCGAGAGTAGCAGTGAAAGTCTTAGGAAACAAGAATTAAAGCCCTGCAAAGTCCATCTTGGAGTAGCTCTTAAGAGTGGTTTTCTTCTCCAAGGCGTACACTTCAGAAAGTATTTACTGCAGTTTCGTTTACGTGGATTTGGATTTTCAGACATCCGTGTGCAGTTGCAACGACATCGAGGGATCGTCTGATTAAACAATGCAGACGTCCTTTCATTTGGTAGACAATACAAAGATGCAGATTTGTCCATCTTTAATTTCTTTATTTCTTTCTTGCACTTAAAGGTAACTATTGGATAATCCACTCTTGCCTTCTTGATAAAATCCCCATGATTGAAGAAGCAGATAAACTAAAATACGAGAAAATTAACACGAAAGGTTGAAATACAAATACAGTGTAAATAACAAAATATGACCGCTTTTAAAGCAGAAGTTAATCAGATTTAAGATTTCGAGTCTTCTTATTATCTCAGATAAAACCGATAATTTTGAATGAATATGTTTGAAGGATTGAAAAATTCCACATTGGGTAATTTTGTTGATGAAGTCAGATGTTTAGTTCAAATCCTCATAAATGGTGTACCGTCCAAACCTGTTGCGGTTTTCAGTTAAGATGGAATTATGCTGCATGATAAGAATTTTTTACTGTTCCATAACCTGCCGAACGATAAAAATAGCCAAACAAGTCAACCCGTGGAAGACACTGGAACGGAAACTCTTTCCAAGGGATCTGATTTCGTTTCCTTGTTTTCATGGTTACAAATGCAAATAAGAAGAAAACAAAAGCCGTAACGGTAGTTTTTTCGTTAAAAAATATTTCGAAGTAAAAATTTATCAACATTAATGAATCAAACAGAGTTACTACGTTGTTTTCATGTGTCTGGTGTAAAATCTAAGGATGAAAGCTGTGTTTGGACAACAGACGCGGATATTGGCGACTGTTTCTTACTACTTGAATGAATTTGTATCCTGAAATCTTTACAATATGAGCCAAACGAACTTTAATGAAGTCGGTTAACTAGCAGATTGAAGATGAATATAGCTAAGTGATGTTTAAACTTTCCCTAACACGTATTCGTGATGCAGGAAAATATGCATTAAAAAGCTTGATTGAAAGCTCAGGGAAGATTGGAACCTTTGCAAACTTATTTTCCGGCTGCACTTAAATATCAGTGCTCTCTATCATTAACAAAATATCAAAGCTGTTCGATGCGAGCTCTTTCTCTGTTAATCAAGAATTATCACTTAGCGACAATCTCCTCGGCTACTAATAACTCTTTCCTCGGATTACCTTGCGATTTCGTTTACACATCCATCACAGACGTCTTTCGAGGTTGTCTTTTCAAGCACCGATTACTCAGCGAACTGTGGGCCGATTCAAATTTCTTTCTTCATCGAATCAATAATCAACAGCGTCGTTCGGTTACCGAGGTCCCGAGGTATTTTCGAAAGCGCGTCATATTCCAAATTTGGAAACGTGATCGGGTAAATTCCAACAGCGAGAAAGTTGGAATGGACGTCGAGGACAGGATAGCGGAGCACCTCAGAGCGTTTTCCTTTTTCGTTTTCTTGAACCAAATTAAATTACGAAATATTTCTAGCATTTTAATTTGGCTTTTAAAATGAATAAATGTAGATAAATTACTTATCTCCTAGATAGATAGAGGTACATACAGTTGAACCTGCCACCCTTGGGGAATAACAGGGTAGGTTCCACAGAATAGGTGTATTATAAAAAAACAATAAAAAAATGCCATGTTATGCCATTATTGACTACTAGATGTGCAAAAGTTCGCTCAGAAATACTACCAACATTGTTTTCAGAAGAGAAACAGGGTTTGAATTTTACTTGAAAGGATTACTTGAGTGGTTCTGCTTAAGTAACCATTCAGTATGGGTGGAAGGCAATATGGACAAGCTGTTGGGACCCAGTGAAGGGTGACCAAGACTACTTTATAGAGGGGAGAATTACAGTGATTAAGGGGGAAACAAATTTGGAACTTTGACAACTGACTGCTTAATGAAGGGTGACCGCCAATACAGTGCTGCTTAATAGATGGTTTGCATGTGACATCACAAAACTTCCGGTCGCCATATTGGTGGACCACTTTTCGCGGAAATTCAAAATGGCGGCCTGCCCTCAAGAGAGTGATGTGCAGTTAAGAGAGGATAATACTTCCAGGATAACCTCACCTGTAATACCCTTATCTGATTATACAAACAGGTTAGAGAATAAGGTCAAATAATGTTATCTTGAGAAATATCAAATGGGTTATAAAGCACACATCTGCTCAAACAAACAAAGACTTAAAAAAGCACACATCTGTTTGACTTCAAATGGGTTATAAAGCACACATCTGCTCAAACAAACAAAGACTTAAAAGAAAGGGAACAAAACAAAGCAGTTTGCAATTGAACTTTTACAGAGCTTTTACTTTAGAAAAAAAATAAGTGTTGATCCAAAATACTAATTTCAATATGCCAGACACCCAACAGCTTACAGTTTGATTTACACCACCAATATGCAATTTTCACACTGGTAATTTCAAGTTTTCAACTCAAAAGGAAGCTTGATTTGCTATCTGCAACCTTTCAAAGGAAAAATAATTTACCTATTAGTTGTGAGAACCAAAAGTAAGGAACAGGGGTGGTTCAGGGAATAAGGGATCTAAATTTTGATTCAGACAAAAAATTTTTATTTACACTACAGCCCAAATAAACCAAAAAATAAGTAAAGTAAATAAGTAAACCTTAATACCTCCTGTTGAGAATTAAGTAACATGCAAACCTGTGGTTGTGAGTATCTATTTATGGTAGACTAGTAGGATAAAAATTATCCATGGGTCTGATGGGAAGGGGGAAGCTCCAGACCCCCAAGACCCCTCCTCTGAGTCTACTTCTGCTTCATCTTCTATTCTCTTCTTATAGTCATGAAGGTGGAGATACAAGTAAAATCTGAACATCCATTACATTGGTTCCTGTGAGTCCAGTCACCACAAGGTCCCTTCCATTTTTAAATTTTGAATAAAAGGAAAAAGAGTCATTATCTTCCAAGAACTGTTTGGCATCAAGTCCATCTTCTCTAGCTTCAGTTACTTGATATGGATCTGCCATTGCTCCTGCAGCCGGGTTGGGACCATCTTGGCCATCTGTACCTGCACTGAGTAGTACCAAACCACCTTTGTTTTCAACATTGCAAAATTGCTCTAGTTTTTCAATGACATCTATTGCTAGTGCGAGTGCCATCTCTTGGTTACGCCCTCCTATACCTTTCCCTTTTAGTGTGACTGTGGTTTCCCCAGCACCAATGATGCAAACTGGCTTTTGGTCATGATGTGCAGTTAATATCTCATCAACAATATTGCTAGTTAATACTTGTTTTCCAGAAGGTGAAATTTTTGACAGATGCCCATTCCAAGCAAGATTAGCTGCACCTGAGAACATTTTTCCCACATCTCTTGCTTCACCACTTAACATCGTGGACAGCACCACGGGTGCATAGCCAAGCACTAGGGCTTTTTTCACAGCAGCATCAACTGCAAAGCGATTACTTCCCACGATGACATTCTGAACATGAGGAAAGCTATTCAGTTTTTCTTTCACCCGCTTCTCTACTTTCTGTTTTGATTTCTGTAGGTACTGAATGACAACATCTGGAATCTTTTTCTCCACATCAAGTTTTTTTAATATTTCTAGGCAATCAGCTGGTGTTGATGGATCAGGTACTGTTGGACCACTGGCAATGATGTCCAGAGGATCACCAATCACATCTGAGAGAATGAGTGTCACCACCTGCATGGAAAAAAAAAAAAAAGCAATGATCTTTAATCAATCAATCAGGACATCAGTGCACTAATAAGTCAGTTGGTCAGTGACTGGATCTCCGAGCCATTCAGTAAGTTATTGATTGGGTTATTTAGTCAGTGATTAAGTCATTCAGTGTCAGTCGAGCTGTGGTTTGATGATTAATTAATTAACATACCAAGGAGCATGACTGAAAAATATATGAAAACTTTAATCAAACTAATAACAACAAACAACAATAAAAAATTATTAAAGATTAGAAATATAGCTAAGTACATAGCTTAGTACCTTGGTTTCTCCTCGCAAATACCTTATGAACTAATCGAGGTGGGAAGATCTAAGGACAGTTTACAAGTACAGGATTTATCTACAGATGGACTAACAATGAAAACACTACTATGTGGTAAATAGAATAAGCATAAAACAGAGCAAGTATATTAAGATTATGAAAAAAGGCTAACCTAAAGTATTAAATAACTTAATAAGACGGGAGACTTTGACATAATCATCTTCTGACCGTAAAAAAAATTCATCATAGAGTTTTTTTTTTTTTACAAAAAGACAAACATTTGAGTTGTTTAATCGAATTATTAGCTTTGCCAACAATACATACAATATAGAACATGGATAAATTACAATAACAATAATGGGCAGGCAACCACAACAGTGACAACCATTTACTGTAGTCCCACAGTAATTAAGTGCTTTACAGACCTTTGCAGGAGAGGCTGCCTTGGCTAACTTCCCTCCTTTCAAATCAGAGAGGTTTTTTCTCACAGTATTGAGTTCATGAATAGTGGCCCCACTTGATGCTAACACTTTGATTGTTTTCAGCTTCTCCTCCAGTGTGATCCCCGCAACAGGATATGGAAGGAGGGCAGAGCCACCTCCTGAGATAAGGACCATAAGAATGTCTTGGTTGCCCATGCTCTCTGCTACATCTCTTATCCTGCTTGCGGCATATTGAGCCATTTCATCTGGAAGATTGTTCTTTGCTCCTTCTATGATTTCTATAGGGCTGAGCTCACTGAGAATTGACTTTTCAATCAGCTCTTTATTGCCAGAAGCCTGTGCATGAAATGATTAACAAAGATGTTTAATGTTTCAACCATTTTCGACAAAACCAAAGATTGATTTATAATTCTTCTCTGTAGCTGCTTTTAAATTTTGTTTAAAATCAGTTAACCCTGTCACTCTCAAGATCTCATCAGTAATTCTCCTAACTGTCTACCATACAATTCTTACAATGTTAGTTTGGAGACTTTCGTTTAGGATCAACTAATAATCCCCTAATTGATATTTTCATTGATTCTTATTACTTGTCTGCTTGATATTCATGTACAAGAAAAAAATATTTCTTGCTCTGTCATAGCAGTTAAAAAGTTAAGAGAATTTGGTTCTTACTTACTTTTATAGCGCGGGGTAGTCCCACTGGAATACTGGCCACCCCCCGGACAATCTGATCTCCCAGAACATCCTCCACTGCTTTAGCCATCCCTAACACAGCTTTCCCAAACGCAACCACGGAGACATTTTTATCGACAATATATTCGTGATCCTTGATGGACAGGATATTCTGACGAAATAGAAGGTTATTTTTTACCATTTCCTGTGGAGAAACCGCGCCGAGAGCAGCATGAAAAATTGACTGGGCGTCTGTCTTCAACTTGAGTTGAACATCTGTAGATGAAGAAATATTGCGCGATCTCGATCTCCGTAATGACATGAAAGGTCTTGCACGTTTTAAGTTACTTGTTACACGAAAAAGAGTCATTAAAAGTGTTTAAAAAATGGCGAAAATTAAAAATGTATAGTCACAATTTGCCACTGTTAACACCAGTCTAATCAACCGGAAACCAACCGAACACGTTCCACACCAAGTAGGGTCCCATAGGGATGTTTTCTTTTGAACCCAGGCTCTATGTAAACTTTCCCAAATGTTGCGAGTTTTGAGAGCTACCATCTTTTATACAACTAGCTTATATTCGGTTTGTTTATTTTTACGTTGGATTCCTTTGTAGAGCAGTGCAAAGAAACGGCCATGAACATCACGAGATGACTATTCCAGCTGCATCCACATTTCTGTGGAATAGCAATGTTTGAAATTGTTTTGTGATTCGACGCGCGGAAATTCGAAGTTTGCGAGTTCCGTAGATTTCGACATGACTCAACAGACAAGCCTACTACACATTGGTGATATAGTCTCCCTATTCGCCGAAGGAACTGTGAATGGATTTATTAGCACACTTGGGTAAATGGCCGAGTCGTATGTTACATTATCAGCCTGTTCATCTACTCTTTCGTGTCATATTTTCTTGCCTAACCAAGTTGTACTTTTCCAGGCTGATCGATGATAGATGTGTCGTGCAACCTTCTGCAGGCGACCTGAACAATCCACCGAAAAAATTCCGAGGTGGGTCCGCTTGATCGTCTGTTAAATACACCATTTACTGCCTGCATTTAACAGTTAAACGTGTCGCAACATCTGTGTTTTCGATTTGCAGACTGCCTGTTCAAGGTTTGTCCTTCGAATCGTTACTCTGCTCAAAAACAATTCTGGAAGGCTGCGAAACCGACTACAAGCGCCACAGATGCTGTGTTACTGAAAAAACTTCACGTAAGTTAGCGATTTTTATCCAAGAAATGCCTTAATTTTGATATATTTCCAATACCTCCGTTCATTCGCGCGAGGGATTAAAGATTTTGACACCTTTTAACCCAAGCGACAAACTGCACTTCCTGTACGAGCTGACGAAGGAATTCTCAGCGACTTCAGATCATCAATTACACTGGTGTCTATGATAAAACTCGAAATCAATTGCAAAAACATGTTTTTGTTTTATAGAGAAGTGCATGGAAATGAACGTAGCGCCTAATTAGACATTATATTTTTTTTTCCACGTCTTTCACTCCGATGTTTTGTTATCGACCCATGGTAGTTAGTCTTAACTACAAGCATGTCGTGGTTTTGAGCCTAATATTCAGTGCTAATAGATCATGTTTATATTAAAAGAAGTTCCTTGTCGAAAGTGTATTCGATCCCGATCAGTTGTGTACATAACTCGGGAGGAAACTTCGACTGATCTTAGAGCCTATTTAAAAAGATAAGAACAGCAGTACAGCTTGGATGTTTTGGACTAGTCTTTCGTTGGTAATATAACGAACAAAGGTATATCCTTCTCAATCTGAAGATAACTTACATGGAAAAAAATCGAACGTTTGTATTTTCAGTAGAGAAATATATCAGTCTTATTGACTTGATGATTTAAGACTCTAGCATTTCTTACTTGTAATTTGCATAATAGATTGATAGGAACCATTATTCTGTTGGCTCAAAAGAGTGTGTTGTTTGCTAGGTGTTAACACTAAATTCGAGCCAAAGAACAAACGCGGAAGGGTAACATTTTTTACGAAAAAAAACTTTATTTGTCTCGATCTTTGATCTCCGACAGCGTACACTGTGCCTTGAAAAAAATTTGAGGACAGCTGTTTTGGTTTTACGTTTACCCGATGTTTTGTGCTCAATATTTCGATTTTAATAACAACAGCATACAGCTGGGAGATTTAAAGGAACGTCGAAAACTAATTTTACAATTATAGTTTTGTTGGGAATGTAATTTTGTTCAAGGATCAAAACATGCTCCTATAGACAATCAAGGAAAAAGACATTTTTATTATACTTGTATGTTAATTGGCTTTCCTAGCCCATTGGCAATTGTTCGATTTCACTGGTTTGATTAGGCAATTTTCACCAAAGTACTTTTTTCCTTATTGGAATTGCAGTCTGTTTCAGGCTTTTTGGGTAGAAAATTGTTTCCAATCAATTTTTCATGCCCTGTGACTTAGTTACAAATATCTCAGTCTACAGGATAGTTTCTAATACAGATCTTTATAAGACAACGTGATTAATTTGCCAGTATTTGAACATTGCTAATCCATGATACGGAATTCCAAAGGCTGAATTATGGGATTATGGAGTTATAGAGCTTAGGAAATTATCACCATGACTCCTGTTAACCTATATGCAGCGTTCTATGGTAACATTTGTTTCATTTAAATTTTTTAGACAAGGAATTATTTTTTAGCTTTTGTGTAACCCCATAACTTGTAAGCTAATTTAAAAATTTGAAGGTTGGTTATTTATTTAGAAGGTTGGTTATACCATAACAGAACCTGGTTGTTGACACAAACTGCTTGCCACATTAATTAGATTAAAATTTAAACAAAAATTTCACTCATGTTTGAATGATATACTTTCTTAAGTTTACTTGGAAGTTTATTTTTCTAGTAGAAAAAAGCTTCAAACGGTATCGTAGTTTGAATCTGTGAATATTTATTTAGAGATCCCACCAAATATCAAACAAATAATAAATGAAATTGTAACATAAGTAATTATTTCCTGAATTTCATTTCAAGCCGTGAATAATATATGACTTATAATTTAGTCGTGCATGATACCACAGAACGAAACTGTCGAATATGTGTTAATTATGAGAACAGACTATTAACCTGTGCCACTTTTTGATAATGAGGCAATTTGAATTTTATTATTACACGAATGTGTTTGAGATTTTGTAAGTAGCAGTTGTTCCTGGCACCGACTGTCAATGATCACTCGCTACAACATCTTCCCTGTGCAGGTTACTGCAGAATTTATGTAGTTCTTCAAAGGTTGAACAATTAATGCCAGCAATTCTCTGATCAAAACAACTTGCTCTAGTGAATTACCAGGTGTGTCCAATTGACCCATCTTTGTGTGGTACATGACAACAAAAAGGAATGATTAAAGGAGTTAAACTAGTTCTAAGTGACATCATTGAAACTAGACTTGTTTCTTTTCTTTTGGATTTTTATCCAATGTCTAATATTAAAGTAGTAACTAACAGAATAAAAAATTGTAGTTGGACATATATTGAGAAATCAATAGCAGTAATTAGTGATATTGGACGCTCCAAATGAGTGCAGGACAATTAGCCTCCAAAAAAGGGGAGTTTAAAAAACGAGAATTGGAATATTTCATATTCTGTTACATCTTTTAATACAGAAACTTACATGTTACTAACCAGTGGTGATTTTTTTCTTGGAATTTTACAATCTTATGTGGTATTATGACTTGAATAAATTAGTGACATGTTAATTAGTGAAAGTGAATTAGATTTTTTACTGTCAGCCCCATCTCCGTAACCTTGAAAGCCTCTTTGTCTAGTAATTGGCAAGCATAAGGTGGCAAAATAACCTATTTCTTGAAATTTATCCCAGAATTAGAGAGCTTTACGTAGAAATACTGGTTTTGCTAATGCATTAAAATTTGATTTGGGGAAATTTAACTTAAAAAATGCCTAACTTTAAAATCAGTTTGTATTTGACACGTTATAAACTGTGTCATTTGTAATTATACAGAAGTAGTCCGACTGAGATATTGTTCCATCAGGAAGTTCAACCATTAAACTTTATATCGTGCTTTATAATGTGAAGCTATAGGTCAAAATGATATTGAATAGACAAAGTTTTGTGTTTCCTTTGTTCCAAATAAATTATCATATTTCTGTGAAGAATGATTTCTAATCATGGAATGACACAGGTATACTTTAAAGAAAAACTGCAAGTGCTCCCAATAGGAGTCAAACCTACAGCTTTTTGAGTACTGTTAGTGTACTGTATTGTACCGGAAGTGTGAAAAGGTTGTGTTTGTAGGCATCCCGTGATGCCTAGTGAAAGTTGTTGTTGTGGTACTCGTTGGCTGCCATGTGGATACTGTGTGGCTTAAAGTATTGAAATCAAAGAACATAGAGGTTGTTATTGCCGTATATCCAATTATCACAGTTAGTAGTACTTCATATGCAGTACCATATTTCTTTATAAGTAAAGGAAATTACAAAATTAATCAACCTTGTTTGATGTCATTCTTTCCTTAATTTCATTTAAAACCCATAACATTAGCACACACATGATTTGATACAGGCTCATTAACCATTTACAGTCTCTAACATCAGTATGCATATTCTCCGTACTGTTTTCTCTGCATTTCTTAAGGTGCTGAAAAGGAGAATTTGTTTAGCAATCAAGAGTGCCAGACCTTTAGTTGGAGATCATTTCTTTTATTCTCGTGACCTTATTTAGTGACTCAGAGGGGATATAATATAACTTGGAGAAATTAGATACTGGTCACTTTTGGAGGAAAAAGGTTAATATAACTATATGAATGGATAACTATGTTTACAGGCTAAAAGAGATGTACAATTAATGGCCCTGTAAAAGCTGCTTTGTCCTCAGTTGGACTGCCAAGGATTTACTTGCATTCAACACATACAGTCATTTTATATTGAAAGATTTGGTCACTAGTAGCTCTAATGTTTTTACACCGTAAGAGAACTTATTAATAGGTAGTGGAGTAAGGTGGTCATGAATTTTATTTCAGCATGCTGCAGAGTTGGAAAAGAAACAGAACGATTCTGAATACAAGAAGTGTTTGGGAAGTGTGGTAGAATATGGAGGAGTTATTCAGGTACATTGTTGCCCCGCATAATTAAGTTCAAAGTTTTGTAACCCAAAGTATTTGTTATTTTTGATTACTTGTAATCAGCAAACTGATTTTTTTCTTCATTTGATAATTATTATGCTGGCTGTGAACATGCTAGGTGCATTAAAACTGTGTTGTCTTAAGCTATAAATCTAAAAAACAAACTTGGTTTTTTACTAAATATCAAATTCAGGGAGCGGTGAATCTATTCTGAAAATGTTTTTAATACTGTCAGTAGTAGAAGTAGTTCGAGAAGAACACTGGATTAATGGATTGAATTGTAGGTGAAATAACAAGAGTGAAACTGTTTTCTGTAATATAATATGAGT